TAACAATAACAACAACAAAAACAACAACACTAACACCACCAACAGCAACAGTCTGCACCGCGGAAGCCCACTTCAGCCACGCACCCATGGACAGTGGATGACCGTTCGGCCCCCTCAGTCTAATGTTCTGCTCTTTACGTGATGCAACATGTGTGGTGCAATCTGGTGCAACGGACTTGTTCAAATGAGTTGACCCATTCCATGCTCTTGCGCACATCCCACCCACTCACCCGCAACTTGGTTTGCAATACATTTGCGGCGGCGATTTCGATGAGTGCTTGGCGATGGTTGGTGCATCTCTGCGACCGCGCTAGCCAACGCATGCTCGCGCGTACAGCGGCCAGCCAGTTTGGCGCCACCGACGCGACCGCGGTGACGCTGACCGCTGGTCTTTTCCCAGCGGGCACTTCATTGCGAGTCGGTGACTTGGGCTCGCGCGGTATCCGACAACGGTAGACACGATTCTGAGAGTAGGGATGATGGTGACGATGGTGGCGATGACGACGGCAGGGCGAATGACGGCGCCGATGCTGACCAGTCCCGCCGATAACGATGACAGTGCCCTCGCGTCGGCGAGGAAGGTTTTTGAGGGAGTTCCAAATGCTCCTGCGGCCGACGCGGGTGGCCCCCGTGGCCCCCCCCCTCCTCCCCCAGCACGCGCGCAAGGGCGCGCGAGTGAGTTCGACATGCGGCGCGGGGGACCCGTTGAGCCGAATCTGCAGAACCGCGAGCGCCGGCTTTTTGACAGCTCGTGTTGCAAAGCCAGGTGCTACTAGTTGTTTTCGGGGCAGTCGCTCTTGACACCCTTGCGACACCGGAGGTTTTCGAACGATTCCGGCTTGCGCGCGGGGCGACGCGCGTGTGCGCTTGTCGTCCCATTTGCTGCAAGGGGTTCGTGGGACAGCACGCGCGCAAAAGGGCGTTCGAGCGTTTTCGACATGCGCTCGCGAAAGGCCCCCTTTTTTTTGTAGCAGCTTTTGAAAATGTCGAAAGGAAAACCTGTGGTTGTATCTATCCAGAATTCGCAAGAGCGCGGGCGCAGAGTTTTTATTTGAGTGCATTCATTGTGAAACCAGTTGTGTTTTGGCATGTTTCGTGACTCGGTTTTGACATCCTTACGACAACTTCGGTTTTTAGTGAATCCGGCATGAGCGTGCGGCGACGCGGGCGTCTGCACTCTGTCCTTTATTTCCGTAAGGGATTCTTGGAAACTGTTGGTTTTTGGTAAACGGCTGCAATCATTGCACTGCAATCTTTTGTTTCCACAGGATGACGGGGTGGGAGGGGCTGGCGAATTGCGGGTTGGATGCGATGGCATGCGTTCGTTCGGAAGATGTGCAACAAAAGGCAGAGTCATATGTAAATTGCTATGTCAGTGGCCGGCTTGATCTTTCCAGGGTGTTGATGGGGGGTAGAATCTAAGTTCTCTGTAAAACAAGGGCTAGTAATTGTTGTGCGCACGATGTTGAGCGCATGATCTTGTGCAGAGAGAGAGAGAGAGAGAAAGAAAGAAAGAAAGAAAGAGAAAGAGAGAGAGAGAGGAACAAGACAAAACAGGGAGAGAGAGAACGAGAGAGAGAGAGAGAGAAAAAGATCGTGCAATCCATAGTGTGCAACCCAGGTTGTGCACTTACGTGATGCAATTTGCGCGGGGCATTTTTTGTGTTGCAATCCACGCGGTGCAAGCCATTTTGAGCAGTCACTGTGGTGCCATGCTTGTGGTGCAGCATATGTTGTCCACTTTAGGGCGGCGACGAGGCGGCGGCAGTGCGGCGACGAGGCGGCGACGGCGACCGCGGAGCCGCCAGACCACCACGTAGGCCCAAGCGGCGACGCAACGGCGACGGCGATCACGGAACCGCCAGACCGCCACGCAGGCCCAGACGATGGCGACGAGGCGGGCGACGGGGCGGCGACGTCGACCACGGAGCCGACAGACCGCCACGCAGGCCAGTTTTTTTATATAACAAACGATCTTAAAACAATGCATTAAACAATCCTTGCAACAACCCTTGGGGGAATAAAGCAATGGCACGCCAACGCCCCCTCTTGTAAGCAAGAGGCGGCCGTGGGTCAGATGCCTCTTGGGATCTGTTGAACAGCATCTTGAGGCCTCTGGAAGCCATGCGGAGGTCGCTCACAGGCCGCTCGCTCGCCTCTGGGGTCCGTTCGGTGGCCTCCTGTTCTTCATGGGGCCATCTGTCGGGCGTCGAGAACTATGCATATCCACCGAGAACTATGCATATCCACCGCCGCTGGCAAGGCTCCACTGCCGCGGGCTGGTGTGCCTGCTCTCCTGGCCAGGCCAGGGTGGCGTAGAAAACCGCTTCTGGGCCCAGGGTGGGCCTGGCCAGGAGCAGTGGAGATGCATAGCTCTCGTCGCCCTGACCGTGGGGTGGAGGAGGAGGCATCCATGTCCCGGGGAGAACAAATCGGGGGAAAACAAACCTACCTCGCTTTTGACCACCCTCGCTTCCAAGGGATACCAAACGATGCCAAATTGTGGCCTGTACTGGTCAGGCCGCTTGACGAGGAGGCGCGTGGTATGGATTGGTTTTGCCTGGAAGCGAAAGCGGGGGAGGTAATTCACGCTGTAAACAGAGGCACTCCGAACAAACTTTCGGACGCCCACGCAGATCTCTTGGGTCGGCCGTGCTCTAGGCTCGCGGCGTCGTGACGACCGGTGGCGGCCCCGCCGCCGATAGTCGACGTTGAGCGCCGCCTCCGACCCAAAATCAGTCGTCGGTGAGCGATCTGACGTTTCGGAAGCGGCCGATCGTTCAAGGTTGAACGATCCCCGCTGTGTCAGGAGCCATCGCTGGGGTCGGCACGACCCGAACCTGCCGTGGGTGGAGCGCGGGCGACCATCGGCCCGTGGAGGTGTACCCAGCGTACATCATCGTGTACAGGCGCACCACGCAGGCGCCGCGGCGCCACCGCGGCCGCAGGGCCCTCTCCGATCTGATTACGATCCCGATGTCGGCTCGGGCCAGCCCGATCCGATTCGAACACATGACAATGACGACCACGAACGTGACCATGACGACGACCACGACGACCACGACGATCACGATCCCGAGGACGACCACGAGGACGACCACGAGGACGACGACCCCGATCACGACCACGACCAAGACCACAACGACCACCACGACCACCACGACCACCACGACCACGACCACGACAACAAGAAGGACGACGACGACGACGACGAGTGTGCCTCATGAGTTGGCGATCCGATCTGTGGCGCGATGTTCGAGTGGCGTTGTTACTCGCCATGATGGAAACGGATCCAGAGGGAAATAGGTCCTGTTTTTTTTCTTCGTTTTCGGGTTTCTGGGGCCATCCCCCAGGATTGTCAGTAAACGATTCTGCACAAATAATTGGTCCTGGGGGAAGGTCCCCGGGTTCAGGACCTGTTTCACTCAAGACCCTTTTCTTTCGCGTGGCGTTGTTGTGCATCTTGGCGCGGCGAGGTCCCAAGGACGCCACTTGTTCCACGTTTTTCTCATCGTGATCTTCACCTTCTTCCCGTTGTCGTCCTTCTCCTTCCTCTCTCCTTGACTGTCCTTGTCGTCGTCCTCTACGCTGTCCTTTTCATTGTCGTCCTCCTAGTATGTCCAATCGTCTTTGTCCTCCTCTTCATTCTTTTCCTACTCGTCGTCGCGTGGCTGAAGTGGGTTCCCGCAGTGCGGATTCTTGTTGCTTTGTTTTGTTTTGTTGTCGTCGCCCTACCCCTGACCCAACCCCGGACCCCCCTGGGACCCCCCCCGCGACCCACCCACGACCCCTCCCGCGACCCACCCGCGACCCACCCCTCGACCCACCCGCGACCTACCCGCGACCCACCCGCGACCCACCCGCGACTCGATCCACGGCCATCCCGCGGATCCACCCAGCGACCCACTCCGCGACCCGCCCGCGAACCAACCTCGACCCACCCCGTGACCCGTCCGCGATCCACTCGCGACCCACCTGCGACCCATCCCGCGTCCGCCCCCTCACTCTTACCCGCAGTTGCGGGGTGCTACAGATGTCATTTAGCTTCCCACGTTCGTCATTCCCGCTTCCTTCCTCCCCACATTGAGACTCAGACTTCTCGCGCCGATTGGTGAGAGTTCTGTGAGAGTGTTTTGTGCCGCTTCTGGCAGGGGTTCTGTGGGGGTTTCCATTAACGCCAGAAGAGAAGGGGGGAGGGGGCGGTCCGGACACCCCCCGCCCGTTCGAAAATGATTCGGATGGGACCAGAAGTATTCCCCCCCCAGGAGAATTTGTTGCGGAGGGTCCAGCATCCCCCCCTTGGGGGCAACTACTCCAGGGGTCCAGAACCCCCCGCCTTCTTTCCCCTGCCGGCGACGACGACGACGAAGACTTCGCCGCCAGCAATCGAAGCGGACGACGATGATAAATTTGATGATGATGATTATGATGAGGAGGAGGAGGAGGATCATGATGATCATGATGATGATGATGATGATGAGGAGGAGGAGGAGGAGGAGAACAAAGATGATGATGAGGATGAGGATAAGGAGCATGATGATGCTGATGGCCCTGCGTGCTGGATAATGTGTTCTTGAGTGTCTCCGTTCCGCTGCCGTTTTTGGGCTCTGCCAAAAACTTGAAGACGGTTGTGATGCTTGGCCCGCTCGCCCAAGTAGCGTCCGCCAGCTTCGCGGGCAGTTGGCTGGGGGGGGCCACTCGCGCATGCCGCTGTGACTGTGCGTGCGCCTGCCACACCAGCTCCGACGACGGGGCCTTGAAGCTGCTCGAGAAGCAGCTCGACAGGTGCGGGCCCGAGCACCTGTGCCCGCAGTGCCCGACCTGCCCGCAGTGTCCAGGGCCTCCCCCTTGCCTGCCGCTCTGGCCTGCTGGGCTGGGCGGCTTCGTGGCGGGCGTCGCCACCACCGCGCTCGCGGCGCTGGTCGCTGGGCGCAGCAGGGGCCGCCGCGAGGGGGCCCGTCCGGCTCGCGCCATCGGGCCGAGCCCGCCGTTGGGCCTCGCGGACGGGCCCGCGTCGTCTGTGCCGGCGCCGGCGCTGGCCGCTGCCTCGGAGCCGAGGGCTCCTGCGGCGCTGCTGGGCGCGGCGGCGCTTCGGGGCCGGGCCTCGCACCGCGGGGCCGGGGTGCTGACGTTCGGCTGAGGCCGGGGCCCGCGCGGACAGCGGCATGTCGTCGCTCGCGCCTGGGACCTATGCTTTCGTGCAGTACAATGACCCGGCCGACAACGGGCTCTGGCATGAGCGCTTGATCTTGGGCTGGGTCACTGCATCGGAGTACATTGTGATGACCCCAGATGGGGATGTCTTCATAGAACAGCTCGACTCGGCGAGCGCGGACCTGTCAGGTATCCGTTTTTCGCCTTCGTCGGGGGGCTTGCCTGCTGGCCTCGCGGGTGCGCCGCTCTACCGCTTCGCGGCGCAGCCTGCTGGGGCCGAGCTGACAGCGCTGCTCAACGAGGGGGCTTCGCACGCTCGCGTGGAGCGCCAGGCGAGGGGCTTGGCGCAGCCGCCCGGTGCGGGCATGGCTGGCGGCCCGGGCGGCGTTGCCCCGGCGGTGGTGCCGATCCCGCTGCCGGTCGCGCCGCCCCCAACGGCAGCCGGCGCGCCCCCGCCGCCTCCGCCCGCCCCGAGGGTGGCGCCCGCCGCGGGCAGCTGGGTCTTCGACGTCCCTGGCCCCTCGCACGCGATCGGGCAGGAGTTCCTCTTCCCTGCGGGCGGGCTGGACTTCGGGGGCCACGCGTTCGTCTCGGTGGGCGGGGCGATCACCACGGGCTGCTTCGTCCAGGCGGACACGAACCTCGACGAGTGGGCGGCGGAGCGGCAGCTCTTCCTGATGCAGGGCGAGCCGCGTCTGCTGCCCCGGCGGCAACCTGCGGGGCCAGTCCCATTCACCCGCGACGCGGCGTGGCTGCACAAGGACCCCCGGGTTGAGATCCACCTGAAGGGGCCGCCGACCATGGGGGACTCGGTGACCGCGCTGATGGCGCGGAGTCCGGGGGGCTTCATGTCCTCCCACGAGCGCTGGCTGGTCGAGAGCAGGGTGCCCGCAGCTAGCCGCTCGGCCCGTGAACATCGAGTTGTCTCGAAGGCGCTCGAGCTCGGACAGGCGGTGGACGGCATAAACCTGGCGAACCTCACCTGCATGGAGTACCTCAACAGGCGTCGCCAGTTGCTGGAGGAGGCCCACAAGACCGACCCGGGCAAGGGCAACTTCGAGGGCGCCCACCACTTCATGGGCGAGGATGACGATGGAGCGGGCACACTCGTCGCCCCGAGCCTCCGCTCGCACGTGGCCGGCCAGTTCGGCAAGGAGGCGGACATCGAGCAGGAGAGACGCAAAGCACGAGAAGCGAAGAAGCCACTTCCCGGAGGTGGCGGGAAATCATGACCGACTTGAACCACGACGGCGCCTTTGCTGGCAGCGCCGCCGCGGCTTGTAAAGACCAGCTTTTTTCGGAGGAGGGAGTGGCCCCGCCTTGGGGCTGGCCGGACGCACAGCCGCCCGGCTTCAGGCCGCCGCCGGGACTTCCGAGGCCGCCCGGCTGCCTGGACGATCTCTTCCCCCTCCCGCTGCTCGACCCGCAGGAGGCCGATTTTGGCGGCTCCGGCCGCGCCCGCACCGGGCAACGAAGGAGATGCATCCGTCGGGACGTGCTGAGTGACGTGAACGACTCGCTGATGGGCCTCAATGCTCTGTACGGCTGTGAGCGCTCGTCGGTTACCGCGCCCACCGAGGCGCAGAGGCTGGCACAACGGAGGTTGCTCCGTTCCGCTCGCTCTGCCCGACAAGTTTTTCCAGACTTATTTAACATGAGTCCCCGTGAAGCTGCCAGTGAGCTTCTGGGATCGCGCCTCGATTATCAGGGATCGGTGACGACGGTCGTCCCGTACCGCGCCGATGCCCTGTCTTTGCCCCCCGCAGGACGACAGCCGGTCAGCCTTCAGGGCGTTCTCGACCCTGATGCCGCGCACGCGCTTGCTAACTTTGAGAGCCTCCTCGCCGAGCCTGAGGTTCGTCAGGCCCGTCGGGAGGGGGACCCGGTCCGACCGTACATGGACGCTGTGCAAAAAAATGATCGGGCCCAGTATGTGCAGTTTTTGGGGCAGCTCGCGAGCTGCCATGTGCTCACCTCCACTAGGACTAAGGAAGCCTCTGTCACCCCGTTTTTCGTGTCAAAAAAGACCGACAAGATTCGGCTCGTGTTAGACTGTCGTGAATCTAACCTAAACATTCTCCCTTCACGGAGATAGCTGCGGCGGAGAGCCTCAGCTCGTTGGAGGTCCCCGAGGGCAGGCAGTTGTACAGTGCATGTGCTGATATTCAGTGTGCATTCTATCAGTGCGGAGATATAGGAGATCTATGCCAGTACTTCTGCCTCCCTAAGGTGACTCGGGCCGAGGCTCACCGCGCTGGCATCCCCGTGAAGGACCTGGGTAGCACGAGCGACTTCGTGTACCCGGCGATGCAGGTGCCCCCGATGGGTTGGTCCTGGGCCTTCTGGTTCGTCCAACGTCTTCATCTCGAGGTGGTGCGGAGGTCTGGGGTCCCCTCTACCATGGTTGCTACTGGATCCTGGCCTCTTCCGTCTGTCGTCGAGGGCCCAATCGAGGCCCCGTACTCAGACAACGTGAATGTGTTCGGGTTGGGGCCGGGGCCCGTGTTAGCAACGCGTGATCGCATCGTCGCCCAGTTCGAGGCGGAGGGGTTCGCCATGCATGATATCTCCGAGGTGTCGTCCGAGGGCGTCGTCCTGGGAGCTGACGTCGGAGGGCCGGACCCTTTCACCCGCCGCTCTCTAAAAAAGCTGCTGGTGGTCAGGAAAGCTCTGTTCTGGCTCGCAACGGGCCCGTGCGTAAGCGGCCGTCAGCTGGAGGTTATCTTGGGACATTATGTCGCTGCCTGTCTCTTCTGCCGTCCAGGCTTTTCGATCATGCGTGCGGTGTACGAGTTTGTCCGGGCTTCTTACGACAGGCCCAAGGTGCTCTGGAGAAGTTGTCGTTACGAGTGTTGGCTTATGGCGACCCTTTGCATCCATCTGCAGTCTCCCCTGTCTTTGCCGTGGGCGAGTGAGGTCATCGCTACCGACGCGTCCACCACCGGGATGGGAGTAACCGAGGCCAGGCTTCCGAAGGAAGTCGTAGCGGATGTTGGGAGATGGCGGGAGAGGTGGAGGTATCGTCGTTTGGAACCTTCTGAGTGGGCCCCCCGGGCCCGGGCCCTCGACGGCCTGGGCGAAATCACCATGCCACGCACTGCCTGGGAGAACCCGTCGGAGCGTGGTTGGAAGCACGCTGTCGGTTTTCCCGAGGTCCCGTCTGAAGTCCTTGGAGCTCAGTTTCGTGTCGTGCACGCCGCGCCCTTCAGATATGCCGAGCACGTCGGGGTCAAGGAGGGGCGGGCCGCTGTGTGGGCTTTGCGCCGTGATGCGAGAGATCCAGGGCGGCACTGCTCCAGGAGGTTGTACTTGATTGACAATTTCGGGGTCGTGCTTGCTTTGGAGCGTGGGAGGGCCACATCACACGGCCTCCTGCAGATCTGTCGACGGGTCACCGCTCTGTCCATAGCCTGTAGCATTTCGGCTCGGTTCCGTTGGATCGCCTCAGAGTCAAACCCGGCCGACGCGCCTAGTCGGCTCTGGGAGCGGCCGGACGCTCGGCCGCCCTGTGGGCCGCATGCTCGGCCCGCTCAGCGTGGCTGGAGGGACTGCGCCCTGCCTGGAGGACAGCCACGGGCGCGCGTCGACCACCAAGGGGGTCCAGCGCGCCGTGCGGAAGGCTCGCGCTGTTCGTCTTCCAGCTCCAGCCGCGCCGAGGCGGGCCAGGCTGGGGAGGCCCGCTGCCGCGCCGGCGCTGCGGCGGCGCCCGGCGGCGGTGGCCGCGCCTGTGCCGCTTCGCCGCCCAGCAGCCGCTGGCGCGCCCGCGCCGATGCGCCGCCCGGCCGCGGCGCCCGGCGCTGCCGGGCTTCGGCCCCGGCTGGCGGCGGCGGTGGCGACGGTGCGGACCTCGAAGGTGACAGCCACGATCCCGTCGGCCTGCGAGCGCGCAGCCGTCGGAGCCTCGGCCAGGCTCTCCTACCAGCAGTACTACGCGGCCTTCCTGGCGTTCGTGGGACAGCCAGCCGACGACCTCGAGGCGCTCGAGGTGCAGGTCCTGGAGGTCCTCGACACGTTCTTGGAGGCGGGCTGCACGAAGGGGGACGCGGACTACCTGGTCGCCGCCGTCAAGGACGCGCTGCCAAGGGCGACGGGGCCGAGGGCCTTGCCTCGCGCGCAGCGCGCGCTGAAGGGGTACGGCAAGAAGGTGCCCCCGAGGTCGCGGGCTCCCGCGCCCCGCGAGGTGGTGGGCTCAGCGATCTCGGGACTCCTCTCGGTGAACGAGCGGGACGCCGCGCTCCAGGTGCTCACGATGTTCAGCACGTTCATCCGCCCGGGAGCGCTGAGGAAGCTGCTGGTGAGGGACCTCTTGCGGCCCACGAGGGCCGGGGGTGCCATGGCGGTGTGGTCGCTCCTCCTGGCGCCGACGGCGGCCGACCCGCTGGCCCCGCTCGCCCACGAGGCGGACCGCGCCCGCTTCCTGACCAAGACGGGGACGTCCGACGAGGCAGTGCCGCTCGACAACCCGCCCTGGCTCGGGCCTCTGTTGGCCCAGCACGCACACGGCCGTCCAGGGCATCTGTCGCTGTTCACCACCCCCGCGGTCGACATGGCGGTGCTGTTTCGCAAGGTCACGGCGGCTCAGGGGCTGCAGGATGTGTGCCTATACCAGTTGCGCCACGGCGGTGCGAGCGAGGATGTCCTCTCGGCCCGCCGCACCCTCGGGGAAGTAAAGTCGAGGGGGCATTGGAGCCAGGACAGCAGCGTCAAGAGGTATGCAAAACCCGGGATGGTTCAGCAGCTGTTGTCGGCGCTGTCACCAGCCGCCCGAACGCACGGCGAGGTCCAGTGGGCGAGGCTCGAGGACCTCTTCGCGGGGCGCCTTCGCTCCTCGTGGCCAGTGCAGTAGCCTCGATTAGGCCGCTGGGCGATTGGGGGCCGCGTGGTGGGCTGCTGCAACTACCTCGCGTCGTGCGTTTTGCCAATACAGTGGGAGTGGAGCTGATGGCGGGCAGCCGCAGGTTGTCGGCGGCCTGTGTTCGTGCCGGGCTGCCCATGCGCTTATTCGAGTTCGCCGACTCTCCGTTGGAAGACGCGCTTCATCCTGATGTTTTTCAGCTCCTCCTCGCAGTCGCTGGGCGAAGCCTCAAGTTTGTCTGGATCGGGCTCGTGTGCACATCGTGGTCCCGGGCGAGACGGAACCCCCATCCTGGAAGCTGGCCGGGGCCTATCCGCTCACCCGAGTGCATCTTGGGGCTCCCTGGACTCTCTGAGAAAGATCAAGGCAAAGTGAAGTTGGGTAACCGTCAGGCCGATTGGGCCGCCAGCCTGTTCTCTAGACTCGTGTCGCTTGGGGTCCCTGTCATTATCGAGAATCCCCAGGGGTCTATGTTGTGGCTGCACCCCCGCTTCCAGGCACTATTGACAAAACATAACTTTATTGACTGGGATCATTGTGCCTTTGGATCGTGTTACCGCAAGCGGACTCGGTTGTTGTATGCTAATTGTGTGCTCGACGGCCTTCGCTCGGATCGGTGTCACGGTCGTGGAGTATGTTCGTTCACAAACCAGCCTCATGTGGAGATCGCAGGGAAAGATGAGTGTGGCATCTTTCATTCTGAGAAGGTTTCCGCCTATCCCGTCAGGTTCTGTGATAAATTCGCTCACATTCTCTGCCATCAAACTGTGTAACAACAACACTGCCGCCCTGGGGTCCTTAACTTTTTAGCCGATTTGGTGGGGGGGCGCCCGTTGGTCACCCCGTTTTCGGTGGGATGGTGTCGCCTAGCGGCACTGGGCCCGCCAAAGATGGGCTGGCCTGCGTGCGTCGCCCTGCCTGGTTTTAAGTTACCCGCCCTCCCCCCCGGTTCATTTATGTAAATGGGCTTGGGGCTTGGAGGCGGCTGCTTGAGCAGCGCTGGGTCGTGTTCGATAGCATGCTTTATCGATCGCTCGCCTGATGAAATAAGTCTGCTGGCATCGGAAGAAATGGGGACACGTGTTAAACACATGGCCCTGCGTGCTGGATGATGTGTTCTTGAGTGTCTCCGTTCCGCTGCCGTTTTTGGGCTCTGCCAAAAACTTGAAGACGGTTGTCCCTCCCTGCCCTTCCTTGCTCCTCTCCCCTGCTGGCAAGTGCGGCCCCTCGTTCACAGGGGCTTGGAGGCGGCTGCTTGAGCAGCGCTGGGTCGTGTTCGATAGCATGCTTTATCGATCGCTCGCCTGATTTACTGGCATCGGAAGAAATGGGGACACGTGTTAAACACATGATGATGATTGTGGTGATGGTGATGAGGATGGGGATGAGGATGAGGATGGCAACGTTGATCATGATGTTGATGATGATAATGATTATGATGGTGATTGTGATGATGATGATGATGCTGATGACGGCGATGGTGATGATGCAGCTGCTGATGCAGATGCTGATGCCGACGATGACGCGGATGCTGATGTCGCCGAATATGTTCGTGTTTATGTTTATGTCGATGATGAGGATGCTGCTGATGATGATGATGTTTATGATTATGATGATGTTGTTGATGATACTGATGATGATGCTGATGATTACGATGATGATGTTGATGATGATGACGATGATGATGACGATGATGATGATGATGATGATGATGATGATGATGATGTCGGCGGCGCCGACGCCGACGCAGTCCTCGATGCCGATGACGACGACACCGACGACGACGACGACGACGGCGGCAACGATCACGGCGAGGGCGACGATGACAGCGACGACGTCGACGTAGACGACGAAGACGCCGACAACCACGACGATCGAGCCCTGGTGGGATGCGATTGAAGCTGGATCGAGCCTTAGTAGGATTCCACTAAAGCTGAATCGAACCCCACTCGGATTCCATTAGAGCTGGATCCAACCCTTGTGGGGTTTTATAAACAAGTGGAGCGACCCCGAGTACCAACAGGCTCCGTGTCGTGCCTTTGTCCAGACTCAAACGCAACAAGACGACATGGGATACCATGTTCGCCCCTGGTCGGTATAGACAGATAAGATAGATACACCTGATGCTCCATCTGTAGAATGTTATATGTGTATGTATAAGTAAATGAATTCGTGCATATATGATATACATTCATATATGAATAAGTATATCGTGTATATGTATTATATATATATGTGTGTTGCATGTACATGATTATAATATATGTACATATGTATAATAGCCATGTGTATAACCATATATGATATAAAGAACGTTCGCATCGTCGCGATGAAGATATCGAACTCGATCGAAGGGCCCGCTTTCTGGCCCCCCCCCCCAGCCGCGCGGCACCTCGGTCGGGAAAGGCAGGGGCTTCGGGGGGAAGGAAAAGGACGATGACAAAGGCGAGGGTTCGTATTTTCCGATTGGGCTTGTGCATTTATCATATATGCATATACATATCGGGCGCACTTGTAGGCGGCGGTCCGCCTCCAACGCCGTCTTTGTCGCCCTCGTCGTCGGCCGCCCTCGTTGTCGTCGGTCGCCTTTGTCGTCGGCGTCGGTCATCATGGTCGTCGTCGTCGTCAGTCGTCGTTTTTGCCTCCGTCGTCGCTGTTGTCGCCCTCGTCATGGGGCGTCGTCGTCGTCGATCGCCCTCGTGCCTCGTCGTCGTCAGTCGTCGTTCGTCGTCTGTCCTCGTCCGCGTCCTCGCCGCCGATGTCGCCCGCGCGGGGCCGCCCGACTGCGGGGCGCCGCCGCCGCCGACGACGACGCGCGAGGGGGGGGGGGTCAACACCGACAGGGGGGTCAACAGCGACAAAGGGGACGAGGACTCGAGGAACAACGACGGCGACCGACGACGAGGACGACCGACGACGACGAGGACTACCGACGGTCGCGTGCGGCGCGGCCGCGTGCATGAGGATGAATATGTGTAGAACATGCATATCTGAACGTACTCATGTACTTATATATATACATAAATATAAATATAAATATAAATATACCCACGCATGTATTTGATAGTTGCACTTTGTAGGTACGTACAGATACACATAGTTACGAATATAAGTTACACAAATGACTTCTACTGCATGACTCCGACGAACCCCCGAACAAACCTCCATGAATACCTGACCTGCAGGCGTGGCGGAATGGACCTCTGTATAGAGACAGAGAGAGAGAGAGAGGGAGAGGGAGGAAAGAGGAAGAAGAGAGGAGAGAACAGGGACAGGAGGGAGAGAAAGAGAGAGAGAGAGAGAGAGAGAGGGAGGGAAGGAGGGAGACGAAAAGGGAGAGAGGAAGAAGAGAAAGAGAGAAAGAGAGAGAGAAAGAAAGAAAAGAGAGAGAGAGAGAGAGCTGAGAGAGGGCAAGGAAAAAGCAAAGAGGAGAGGGGAGAGAGAAGAGAAAGAGACAGAGGGGGAGGGAGAGCGAGAGGGAGGGGTGTTCGCGCTCCGCCGCTCGACACCGCCCGCCGCCGCCGTGCTCGCGGCTCCCGCGGCGGGGCCGGCGCCCGCCGTGCGCTCGCCGCACGACGGCGCTCGCCGCCGAGGAACTGGCGCGCCACCGCGCGAAGAGAGAGGAGGAGGAGGGGATAGGGATAGGGATAGGATGGGGTTGGACAGGGAAGGATGGGAGGGGAGGGAGGGAGACACCATCCCGAGGGAGGGAGGGGAGGGAGGGGGGGAGGGGAGGGGGGAGGGAGGGGAGGGAGGGAGGGAGGATGGGGTTGGACAGGGTGACGGGGGGATGGGAAGGGAGGGAGGGCAGAGGGATGGTCCCAGCGTTTCCTAACGAAAACGTGGAATCCAGCGAGACTCTAGAATGCGCCCGAATGCTGGAGATCAGCGACACTGGATTTTTTATACGAATTTCGAGCAGAGAAGTTGGAGGAGGAGGAGGAGGACGAGGAGGAGGGAGAGGACAAGGAGGAGGAGGAGGAGAAGGACGAGGAGGAGGAGGAGGAGGGAGAGGAACGGAGGACGAGGAGGAGGTGGAGGACGAGGAGGAGGAGGAGGAGGAGAGGACGAGGAGGACGAGGAAGGAGGAGGAGGGGGATGAGGATGAAGGATTAATGAGGAGGAGGAGGAGGAAGAGGAGGAGGGGAGGAGGAGGAGGAGGAAGAAATTGCAAGATGGGTCGTACTCAATCCTCGCCCTCATCCCTCAGCTTTGGGCTTGGCAGAGGCCCCATCGCCCGCCCGCGGCGGGCGCGATGCTCCCTGGCGACGTCGATCCACCCTCAGCGACGGAATGGAAATCACTTCGAGGGCGGAAGGAGTTCCGGGTTTGTAATTGTTATTTCGCCCTCTCCTCGTCCTCCTCGTCCTCCTTCTCCTCCTCCTCCTCCTCCTCCTTCTCCTCGTCCTCATCCTCCTCGTCCTTCTCCTCCTCCTCGTCCTCCTCCTCCTCCTCGTCCTCCTCCTCCTCCTCGTCCTCCTCCTCGTCCTCCTCCTCCTCCTCCTCGTGCTCGTCCTCCTCCTCCTCCTCCTCCTCCTCCTCTTCCTCCTCCTCCTCTTTTTTCAGCCCTCAACCTTTACATTACATACCAGCTCTGATCATGATGCTGACGTCGCCAACCGAGATCGACTGAGGCCCCTGCCCCTCCTTCCCCTTTGAAATATGAAGGGGGAGGGGCGGGGGCGGGCAACGAGGGGGGAGAGGGCAATCGGGGGGTTGGTCCGCCGCCAGAGGTTGGCTGGACGTTCGAGGAGATGGACTCGCTCGCAGAGCGCTGGAAGAAGAACCTGGGGGCTGCGAAGTCGCAGCTGGTGCATGACGGCCAGTTCACCAGCAATGTGCTCTTTAAGTTCGGCGCTGACGACGTTGACATCGAGCACCTTGGCAAGTACGCCATGTGGGTGGACCCGATGATTAGAGAGTGCCCCTACAAATACCCTTCGGCCTACTGGCTCTAAGGGAAACCGCCGCCCCCGACACATCCCCCCTGT